ACAGATACTACAATTTGTTTGTGCATTTACCAGCTAAAGACATTTGGGTTGTTTTCAGTTATGAAAACTTCTGAATAAAGCTGCTATAAACTCTCACGTATAAGTTTTGTGTGAACATAAGTTTTCATTTCTCTTGAGAAAATACGTATGGGTAGGATTGCTGGGTGATATGGTAAATGTATGTTAACTCTATGAGAAACTGAAAGAATGTTTTCCAGAGTGATACAGTCATTTTGCATTTTCACCAGCAATTCATGAATATTTCATATATCCTTGCCAGCATAAAGTATTTTTTTTTCCTTTTGGCAATGGTTTATCTGTTTAATATAGATAAGGCTGATATTTCTGAAATGTACTGGCCTTTCCAGCATGTGATATTGTCAGATATTGTCAATTACAATTTTTTCAGCCCTTCTAGTAGGTAGGCAACAACGGCACTTTCTGGTTTCAATTTGCATTTCTGTCATGACAGATGATGCTGAACACCTTTTCATGGGATCACTGGCCATGCCTATGTCTCCCTTGATGAAGTTCCTCTTCCAATATTTTACCTGTTTTTTAGTTGGCTAGTTTTCCTATTATTAAATTTTGAAAATTCTCATTTATATATTCTGGATATAAGTTTTTTATCAGATACGCGTTTTACAGATATTTTCTCCTATTTTTAGCTTGTCTTTTTATTTTCATAACAATATCTTTCATTGTTAAGAATACAAGAGAATTTATAGAATCTGTAATAGAAATTACACATTTTGATGGTGCTCAATTTACTATTTTAATGTATGGATTATTATTTTTTTTTTGATGTCTTCTCTATGAAAGATTAGCCTATTGTTTTTTTTTTTTTTTGAGACAGAGCTTCAAGCTGTCCCCCTGGGTAGAGTGCCGTGGCATTACAGCTCACAGCAACCTCCAACTCCTGGGCTCAAGCGAGTCTCCTGCCTCTGCCTCCCAAGTAGCTGGGACCACAGGCGCCTGCCACAACGCCCGGCTATTTTTTTTGGTTGCAGCCGTCATTGTTGTTTGGAGGGTCCGGGCTGGGGATTCGAACCCGCCACCTTAGGTGTACGTGGCTGGTGCCTTAGCCGGTTGAGCTATAGGCGCTGAGCCAGCCTATTTTTTTTAATGAGAAAGTTTTGGGGTGTTGGGTATGGTGGCTTATGTCTATAATCCTAACACTCTGGGAGACCAGAGTGGAAGGATCACTGGAGACTAGGAGTTCGAGACCAGCCTGAGCAAGAGCAAGACCCCATCTCTACAAAAAATAGAAAAAAATTAACTGAGCATAGTGGCACATGCCTGTAGGCCCGGCAGGGCTGAGGCTGGAGTAATGCTTGAGCCTAGGAGTTTGAGGTTGCTGTGAACTGTGATGACACCACTGTATTCTAGCCAGGATAACAGAGTGGAACTCTGTCTTAAAAAAAAAAAAAAAAGAAAAGAAAATTTTTATAGCTTCCAAAGTGCTAGAATTACAGGCATAAGCCACCATACCTGGTTGCATAAGTGATTTCAAAAGCATTGTATTAAGTGAAAAAAAGCTAGTCTCAAAAGGCTGCATACTCCATGATTCCATTTATATGGCATTTTTAAAAGACAAAACTATAGGGACAGAAAACAGATCAGTGGTTATGAGGGGCAGGAATGGGCAAGGAGAGGTGTTTACGACAAAAGGGCACAAGAGAACCACAGGGAGTGACAGAACAAGTCTATATTTTTGTTTGTCATGGTGGTTACACAATCTACATGCATTTCTCCACACTCAGAACTGCACACTAAAAAGGGTGCATTTTACTGTAGGTAGATAATATCTCAATAAACCTATCTAAAAATCAATATTACTTATCACAATATAATTAAACAATAAATACCTAGGTATAAATCTAGTACAAAATGTACAATATCTCAACATGAAAACTAAAAAGCATTGGTGGGGCAGGATGTGGTGGTTCGTGCCTGTAGTTCTCGCATTCTGGAAGGCCAAGGTGGGAGGATTGCTTGGGGTCAGGGATCTGGACCTGCGCTTAAAACCTAAAACAAGTAATAGAAATGCCATGATAGCAGGAAGCTGATGAGAACAGTTATTATCTCTCAAAGTCAACAAGGGACATCCCATTAAGAAAAACAAAAATCATAGGGATAGGAAAAAACCAAAAGGAGCTCAATATGATTGCAATAATAGATGGAGAGCACAGTGGCGTGGAGTTACGAGCATGTGAAGTGAGCTAAGACTTGAACGAGGCCCTTTGAGTACATTTACTGAGCTAAACTGCTAGGGGCTTACATATCCAATATCTCTATAACCATCAAAATAAACTTACAAGTTGATAAGCCATTGTCATCTGTTTTATAATTAAAAAACCACAGCTCTGTAAGGTGGTCTATATTTTGTTTGTGGTGGTAGTTACACAACCTACATGCATTTGTCCACACTCAGAATTGCACACGAAAAAGGGTGCATTTTACTGTAGATGTCTTTCCAAGGTCATAAATCCAGTGAATGACAGATTTATTATTCACATCTAATGCTCCCAGACCCCAGGAGGGGCCTGATTGGTGAACTAAAATTACTAAGCATTATAACACTTTGCAATTAGACTAAGTAAAGTATAAGGGCTGGAAAACTGTGTCATGCTAGGAACTATGATTCTTGCAAATGGAAATCAAGAAAGCAGCACTACACACTATGTATCTGAGGCAATACGATTTGGGAAAGGGGTGTTATTGTAGCAAATAGTAGGAAAAACTAAATGATGATTTAGAAATCATTGCAGCACAAAACTTGATTGAAATTATAGTTCTCCATATTTTATTCATACAGCCAAAGGTAAGAAATATAAATCATGGGATGTTAATATTCTATGTGACAAGAAAATCACTAGCATTATTTATTTACCTTACAGTTACCTGAGCACCACACAACTGTTTCATGTCTGTGTGGTGTGATGCAGCTGGTTTCACAGTCAGATCATTGTCTTCTGCTATGCCCTGCTCAAGGATGACTGCGGCTCACACTAGGCTCTGATCACAAAGGCTACTTCTTTGGTGACAGGACTGTGTATGCAAATGACATCAAGCAAACAGCAGAGATGCTGACCTCAACTAAAGATAAACTGGAAAGGTTCTAATTGCTCAGACAAGGAAAAGACGACCTTTATGAAGCCCCCAGAGGACCTTAGTGAAGTTCTCACCCAGACATCTGGCAGTCAACACCAGCTATCAGGCCTACAACGGGCAGAGGAGGCCTCTGAGGGCTGCTCACTGCAACTTCACTGTGAGTTTCTGTTGGAACATGGGTGTACTCTGGGTACCAGTGACCTCAGCTAACAGCAGGTAGTTAAGGCCAGGTAAGAAGCAGCTGACACAAAAATCTGATTATACACAAGAGCGTCTTTCCATGTGCATACACCTTCTATCTGATTATAGGCGAGAGCGTCTTTCCGTGTGCATACACCTCCTATCTGATTATAGACGAGAGCGTCTTTCCGTGTGCATACACCTCCTATCTGATTATAGACGAG